CAAGAAGGAACTCAATAGTGTGGATGCTTAAAGCATCCACACAATCATTGTCTTTTCTTGTGTGTCTGCTTGTTTTCATATAGGTTTGCCCTGGGCGTTTCCCGGTTGGGTGGGCCGTGGCAAGAACTGGCCCTATGACTACCCAGATGTCACTGCAACATATGTGGTGAACTGGATCCTTGGTGCCAAGCAGTACCATGACCTAGACATTCAGTATGTTGGGGTGTGTATACCACTTCTCAGATTAGAATGCAGCTCTGCACAAACCCACAAAATTGATGCAATAATCATCTCTACTTCAACACATTGCTTTTGTGGTCCTTACAAAAGGCTGCTTCCTCAAAAAGTGAATGCTTTGCAGCTTGGTGGCTTTTGGCATGTTTTGAACTTTCCTTTCATAACAGGATTATAATTAATTAATATAGCTATTAATTATAATTATTTGTTACATTTCAAACACATGCACATTCATTTTTGAGCTCTGGTTAAACTGTTTGAACATCTGACTGCTTGCATTATCTCTCAGTATCTCTGGCATTCTCAGGATTTTAATAACCAAAAGTAGTAATGGTCAAAACTTCTAAATACTAAGCAGTTATTTGCAGCCACCTAGTGACAGTAAATTCTCTAATGTAAGTCCTGTTACCAACTTCTGTATTTCATCAAACCAGGAATTGGAACAAAGATGGACCTCTAGTAGCAGATGTGAATCTGGTCAATGTGACCAAGTGAAAGCCAGCCCACAAACACAGGGAGGAAAAAAGTAGTTCTGTTAATGTTAAATGTTACTTATTGCTCTGTACAGTAACTTACATGGCTTTGATTCATTCATGTTGTCTTAATCCTGTGCGGCTGTTGTTGCATGGAATTAGCCCTGTTAGAAAATGAAGGGTTTCTGTCCACTAAAGTGTGACTTTAACATGGTAAGTGGGAACATATCAAAACCTGACTTTGTTGTAAAATGTGACAGATGACATTTATTAGTTTCTTAGTACTGAAGGCCTGCCTGGAATATAAAAGCTTTACCACGTGATACTGGATTGATGGATTTGCCTTAGCAGGAAATTGAGCCTGCAAAAGTTTGTTTGCAAACTAAAATTCTCTTTCATCCATTTAGATCTGGAATGAGCGAAGCTTTGACATCAAGTACATTAAGGTAAACATAACTTACTGTTATCTTTCATTGTACTTTTGTCATAATGAGTAGCCTGCAGTGTAAATTGAAGTAGAAAAACAGCCACTAACATTGAGTTGTCCTACTGAGAGATGCAGTGTGACGGTGTTTGGGATGATTTTAAAGCTCTAGCTGAGTTCCACTGAGAGCATGTCTTTGTCGCCAAAGGTGCTCCGGAACATGCTGGATAAAGTTGGTCTAATTGGCGTTGGCATCATCGCAGCAGACGGCGATTGGAGCGTCGCTAATTCTATGATCCTTGACCCATATCTTAATAATTCTGTTGATGTGATTGGGTAAGTACGGAGTCTCAAGAAGTTTGAAATGAAATGCTCCCACTGCGTAAATCATTGGACCAGATGGCACAGTAAAAGCAGAACTTTTACCATGTGCTATAAGTTTACTTGAAGGCTATTTGGTGCCTGACAACTGATTGCGTAAATCCGAAATGTCCACTGAGTTTGGGTGCGTCTCTGTTAAAGCACACTCGTCTTCCACAAGTACCCAGCTGAATGTTTGTGGCTGTTATTCTGCTGGACTTGAAAGATAAAGTCGGAGCTGAATCATGTGTAGGTGTGTTGCTGCTGAAAAAAAAATTTCAGATCTGCCACATTTCTTAGGTGGTTTTAAAGCTGCATTAAAAAAAAATTTTAAACATGAATATTGATCCAATACAGAAAGTAATCATAAGTGCTGAGAATTTTTTTTTATTGAATTTGGAGTCTAATTTGCATCTGTCTCTCCTGGGTGACAGCATGTTGATGTGCTACTGTAGGAAAAAACGAATGACTACAGTTGTGCCACACACTTATAAAATCAAGCACCTAGGCATGCAGGCTGCTTCTACAAACATTTGTAACAGAAGGGGTCGCTCTCAGGAGCTCAGTGAATTCCAGTGTGATGCCGTGATAGGATGCCACCAGGACAACAAGTTGTTTTTCAAGAGTTGGGTTCAGCCTCTTATTTCCAGTGAAAAGAAACAGTCCATAGATCACAGTTTTGAGCCATTTTATTGATTTATTGGTTTTAACTCGGTGGGCGTGATTGCGGATGCTACGCAGTTGCATCCTCACTGCCCCACACACCACACCCCACTACAAACACATAGTGAAACACTGTCAGTCATGGACTGACCCATTAACATTACTGAAGCAGTGTAGGTTCATCTTGACAGAACGGAACAAAAGGCAGCTTGTTAAGGAATAAAGGTAACCATAGCAAATATCAAGAGTTAGTGTAAAAGCAGATGAAGCTGATCTCCAGCCTCAATCCCTGCCCCCCTCAAATTCCCTTTCCTGGACACATGACTGTGATAGCTGGCCTGGTGAAGAGACAGCTGGAGTGAATGCATCTATGTTCCGTTTCCTAGTGTAATATAAAGAAAAAAAAGGAAAGGTTCAAGACTTTACAGTAACATTGTAGCATCAGAGAGCACCAAAATATATCAAACATTATATGAAGGACTGGGAGCCATAACCTCAATGATTACTTATAATATCTTCTCTTCTCTTTTGGCTCTCGGCGAAGGCAGTCGCACTTTTCTCCTCTCCTCCTTCCCCTTATCTTCCCTGCTTAGCCTCTTGTG